CCACACAGCCCGGAAGACCCACACCAGCCATCGTATTCCGGCCGTGAAAGCCTTCAACAATCCACAGATGTACACTTGATGCTTACAAGTGATTCAGATGTCCAGTGTTCAAGAGTACACAATATAACAAGATGTTAGTGAACCCCAACTCCCAGATTGTTTATCACTGATCACCGTGGTGGGTTACCTGGGTTAAGGCAGCTGGAAGGTATAATTCAGTAACATCTGGAAAGCTATCTCTCCAGTTTTGTCAATGGATTGCAAGTTAAAAAAGAGAGCTTGTCCTTTGAACTTGGTTGTTTGCTTGCAGACATTTCATTCATCATGATGTTACCTAGTTGGTAATGAAGGGTCTGCAAGCAAACAACTGAGCTCAGAGACCACCAAGAACTCCACAGTTCAACCTTGAGTTACGGATATTCACTTCTCTGAGAGAGCTTGTGATTGACAAGAGTGTGTTGATCACCTGGGTCTCTTTTTGGACTAGGTAACACCGGAAACACACCTAGAAATAAGAGAGGTGAAAGGATCAAAATGGTAGACTGGGTTCAAATCCCCTCTCCAAGTACATTGGGTGTCTATGGGCCAGTCACTGACATGATCATGGTTAAGCCATAAAGTCTGCACGAAGTTTAGTATGTTGGGCTAAACCTCTCTGTGGTGGTTTGTTAGCCATGTTTTATGGCTTCCTAGTCCATGAACCTAGCCAGTTTGGGTTTATTCAATCAAGCATAGTTAAATTATGGAGTTGGGCAGCTAATAATATTCAAATAAATATTATTTATTATTATAAATAATATTTATTTATACATCACATTTATATAGCCACCCATCTCACACAAAGCAACTCAGGGCAGCGTACAACAATTAAAATAAAACAGCAAGTGAATAAAAACAGGCATTATTGAAAGATTAAAAGTTACTATTAGAATAAAAACATTATCACACATTTTTAAAAAATAGATCTTAAAATATACAAACCCCACAGAGAGAGCAGAACTTCAATTAAAATAAACACTAAATATGTATAAAATATTAAATAAACCATACACGTAAACAAATAAATAAATAAATATTAAAATAAATGAAGGCAAATCGAATCCAATCAGTAAATAAAAAATAAATGCAGATAGACAAATAAAGGCTCAGCGGGTACGAAGTCTTCTATGAACACTCGGCACGGCCTATTTTGCAGGGCTGTTGTTGGGATCAAAGCGGAAAGGGGTGGACGGTGGGTGTCTCCGTCGACTCCTTGCAAGAAGGTGCGGGATATTACAAGGCAGAAGCCTGAATCTGAGACATTCTATCGAAACAAAACAAAACCCCCACCCTTACTGGCAAGGCAGGCCACAGTACATAAATAGAGAGCAAAACCCATCCCGTTTTAGCACTGAAGATGTTACCTGGCCGGGTAATGAAACGTTTGCAAGAAAAGGACCAAGCTCAGAGAACGCCAAGGACTCCACAGTTCACCCCTGAGCTACACATATTCACCTCTATGGGCTATCTCCTGCATTGGCACCACTGCCCCAGTCGCTAACCGAGCTGCCTCAAGGCAAAATCATCATCACCATCTGCCAAGCGTGGCGTAGTGTGCAAACGCAGCCCGGGGTCTGCAGCCGCCCCAGCCTCGGCGTCCCCCTTCCAAGGCGGTCGCAGCGCCCGCCTCGGCGTAAACCGGACGGGCAGCGATCCCGTTCCTCCCCAGCCAGAAGGCAGGCCCGCTTCCTGGCCGGGCGGGTCACGGGCTGCGCCTTCTCCCCTCTGGGTCCCGCCTCTCTCCGGGCAAAGCAGGCCCGGCGGCTGCCCCGGCGCGGGCCATGGAGGGACTCTCCGGGCGCCGCTACCGTCGAGGCAGCGAGCAGAAGCCCGGCTCTCCTGGCTGCCTCCGGGACGGGGAGGCGGCGGGGCGGGGGCGCGCGGGCCGGCTCTGCGCGGGAGGGCGAGCGGGGACGGGAGCGATGCGTCCCGGGGCGGGGAAGGGGCGGTTGCAGCCCCGGAGGAAGGGCCACTTCGGGGAGAGCCTTCGGGGAGGGCTCTGTCGGGGAATCCCGGGGACGCTTCCTCGTTTGCGCTTCGCTGGCGGGCAGCGGCGCTGAGCGGAGCCTCCTCTCGCAGCCCCCGCGGAAGGCGAGGCGAGGCGAGGCGAGGCGCCGCCACGCGCGGCAGCCGCTGCGGGGAAGCAAAAGCGGGCGGCCCCGCGCCCTGCGAGGCCTCCTCCGAGGACCTTGGCCCTCGCGCGGCCCTGCCCTGCCCTGCCCTGCCCTGCAGCAGGACCATGGCTAGGACCGGCTGTGGCCCCGGCTGCAGCCTTCCCCAGCCGCCCCGCTTCCGCTGCCTGGACCTGGCCTTCGCCCTGATGGGCACCCTCGCCTTCCTGCTGGACTTGGGGGCCGACGTGTGGGTGGCTGCCAGCTACCTGCGAGCTGGCCACTTGCACTGGGGTGGGCTGGTGCTGGGGCTCTTGGCCCTCTCCTCCCTGGCGACCCAGTTCTTTAGCTGGGCTTGGCTCCGGAGTGACGCGGAGAAGGAGGGCCTCCCACATCTGTCCCCCCGGACTTCGAGGCTGCTCCATGTCCTACAGCTTGGCTACCTGTACAGGTAAGAGGAGCAGGATGCTTCTGTTCATGGACCCAGCCGGTTGCACACAGCACACCCAAACGAACAGGAGGTTCCATCACACCCTGCCTCGCTTCCTGAACTCCGGCTCCTTTGACCCAAATGCCAGAGTCCACATACTGCACCGGACTGTCAACTAACCCCGCTGGCTGGGTTCACACGGTCCCAGGCTCGAGTCATAAAGTCATAATGATAGAGTGGGCTGCCAAGAACTTGGCCAAAGTAGGCAAACACGATTTAGCCTCGTGTGCTAAGCTACAGTGGGCTGCACAAACAATAGTGCTAAAGTCATGCCGTAAACCAAGATATGGAAATCAGTGTGGTGATTTCCACAATACACTAAGCCATTAGGGCTGCACTGTGTGTGAAATTAATTATCCGGTCAGTTATCTTGCATATTTCCTGAATGGGAAAAAGGGTGAAGTCTACTACAGAGGTATTGCTTTTAGGGACCATTTATTTAAAATTAAAAATAAATCAGTCGGAAACTAGCATGCTCCAAAGCGAAAGGCCTCAGTCCTCCTATTTACTTCCAGGCATGCTCTTGGACCTGACGAAGCTGTCATAGGAATGGTGTAGAAAACATCATAGAGAAAGTACTGGTTGCTGGATGTTTTGACTGGCCGTGCTCATCGCTGTGGCCATATTGCAATAAGTCTCCCGTGGCTGCCATTTGGGGAGCGTGCCTATTGCATGCATTCAGAATTCCAATTCTTGCCAATGCTTGTCTTAGACACTGCTGTGTTGCCTTGCACAGATGTCTCTGTGTCCTGAAGGTGGGTTTCCACGCGTGCAAGATGGACGATGCAACAGCAACCCAACAGGCCTTTGCCATTTTCCTGTCACACGACGTCAGCCTGTTGCGCCTCTTTGAGACCTTTCTGGAAAGTGCACCTCAGCTCATCCTGGTGATCTACATCATCCTGCGCACCAGTCAAGCTGAGATATTTCAGGGTGAGCACCGACTGGGAGGGGCTGGTTTTGGAGGAATGTGAGCTTCTGCCGAAATAAACACAGTGGATGTCAGCATTTCTGTAGCCCAAATCTTCAACCTTGTGAGAACTCAAGGTTTGCAGACATATAAAAACAATACGGACAAATAACAATTTCAGGTTAAATGTTCTTGTTAATTTGTTCAATCAAATTGGAAAAGGAAATTCAAAATCAAATCAAAAGCTGTTCCTTTTTATATATATATATATATATATTCCTTTTATTTATATATATATATATAAACACACACACACATATATATAAACACACACACACATATATAAACACACACACACACATATATAAATACACACACACACACATATTAAGTAACAATACAATGGAGATCTTAATATTAAGTAACTAGTAAGATTGAAACTATTGATATAACCAATACTTTGATGTGAATTGCAGTGGTTCTTTTTTTATCTTATATTCAATTTTGGATGAAAAGTTAAATAATCTAATGCTTGTAACACTGACGTCCTAGATGGCAATTAATACAGACAGAATTTTTACTTTCCTTTTTATTTTCAATTTTTAAGCTTTTTAAATAGAATGTTAATAATTTTTAATCATATTATCTAAACATTACTGCACTGAAATCTATTGAAGTAATACAATATATCAAGATTTATAATACGACAATAAAAGGGGAAAAAATCAAATAAGAATCTGGAGGAGGAGGATGCCAAAACTGCTAAGGAGACTGAGCGCTCGGAATCTTGGACCACAACAGTTCACACAGCAGCACTTTGTTGCAGTTCCCATCAAAAAACAGACCCAGTTTAAGAAAAATGGTACTGGGCAACTTACATACATGCACACATTTTTAAAAAGTTGAAATACATCAATTTGCCACACATTTTTATTTCGTTCGTTAGTTTCTTATTTATAACCTCATACCTTTCTTGGAAGGAACTCCATTTTATCCTTGGGACAACTTCATAAGATAGGTTACTCAGAGAGAGAAATACTGGCTTATCCAGCATACTTCCAAACCAAATAGCCACTACAGCAAAATCCTATATGTTCCTCCTTGATTTTACTATGTTAATATGTAGAGGATTACATACTCTAGCAGAAAAATGTTATGATAGGGAACGCACTAGAAATGAGAATAATTTAAAAAATTGAACCCTTCCTCCGTTCAAGGGGTAGATTTTGCCCCTTTCAGCACCAGTACTTACATGTGTGCAATTGGGGAGGTTCTTCCTCAGCCTGATCTCTCTTTCCGCTGCCTTCTCCCTTGTTTTCCTTGCAGTACTTGGGATTTGCACATCTTTTCTGTGTATCACTTGGGCCCTCTTGGATTACCATCAGACCCTGCGCAGCTTCCTGCGGGACAAGGAGAAGCTGGCCTTCCTGTCTTCAGTCCTCTACTTCCTGTGGAACTTCCTGCTGATGTGCCCTCGCATCCTATCCTTGGCGCTCTTTGCAGTGACCTTCCCAAGCTACATTTTCCTCCACTTCCTGGGCATCTGGTTGGTCATGTTTCTCTGGGTCTTCTTGCAAGGGACAGACTTAATGGAACATGTCACCTTTGAGTGGCTTTACCAAGCTACAGCGGCTGTCATCCTCTATTTCTGCTGGTTCAATGTGGCCGAGGGGAAAACGCGCCACCGCTCAACCATTTACCATGCTTTCCTGTTGCTGGACAGCACCATCCTTGTTGCCTCTTGGTTCTGGTACAGCTTTCCCTCGAGCTGGGATTCCCACGTGCGCCCAGCACTCCTGGCTGCCCTGGTCTGTTATGTCCTTGGCATCTTCTTGAAAGTCATCTACTACTGGTGTTTTCACCCCACTGTGAAAAATGTACCCCTTGGGAATTATGATGAAGTGGACAGCAGTGAACCTGGGAACGGGGATGCTGTTGTGTTCCGCCAAATGGTTATAGAACCTCTCATCAACCATCGGACATACAGACTTTCTCAGAATTTCTTTGCTGGCTCTTCAGCAGAGACTCAGTACCAAAGGAATGGGACTGTTGGGGATATGTATCTGTGAGCCAGGCTGTTCATGCCCAGAGGGGCCAAGACAGGACTACAGCTGAATTAGATTTAGAAAACATTTGTACCAGTGGTCTGCTGAATCTGTGCCTATACTCCTTTCAGGATTAGCCACATAAGCTAAGCCAAAAAACTAGGAAGGAAATTTTTAAGCACAAGGTAGATGTTACCACTAAGGTTGATTGCATCTTTGGCTCACTCAGGGCAAGATGCTCTTCTCAGCTTTTCCTGCTGCCCCTTTTGTGCAAATTCACCTAAAGTAGCTTTTCCTCTCACTTGATATGTTGGAGGACAATGTTCATCATTCCCAACCAGCATGGAGATGATTGTAAGTGGCACCCAATTAGAGATGCCTAGGGGGAAAACCTTAATATTTTTTTCCCTGATTTTTTCTGGATTTGTTTCCTGCAGATCTTCACATGTTCATTTCATTTCATTTGGAGGTCACCAGACCAGGGAGGGCTGTTTGTGAATCAAAGAAAGAGGAGACATCAAAGGCTTACATTCTGGAGTTTGATTCTTCCAACAAGGCTGATGGATTCAAGTCTCATCAGTCAGAAACAACAACCTTGTTATTAGTTAAGGGTGAGATTGTGCCAGCTGTCCTCTTGATGAGATTCTTTAGAGGGGTGAGGAATCTGTAGCAACATCAGCAGATATGGTCAAATATGGCCAAAGGTGAAGAATGCTGGGAAATGTCGTTAGCAAGACCTGATGGTCCATAGGTATACCATTATTGCTTTCTGAGAGACACAGAAACTGGATTCTATGACTTGCACCATGTTGTCGGTTGCAATATTTTTCAATTCTAGTGCACTTTTCAAACTTTTCCTTTAATCTTAAATTCAGGCCTTCACTTCACTGTACTTGACTGCCCTCTGCCTGTGTTCAGATAGCATGCTACACCAGGAAAAATTAGTTGAAGGGATCCTTGGTCACGTGCTTTCTCTTTTCTTTAATGTGGCTACCAGAGGGGTTCCAAGCTGTCACTTCTACTTTTAACCAGTTCTTGTCATAGTGTCTTAACTATGACATCATACTTTATACGGGTATCATAGCTTATCTGGAAAAACACATACTCCTCAAAGCATAAGCTATGAAACTGGCTTGTTTTAACATACCACTGTAAAGATGAATCAGAGTTTAGAATTTGGATGTAGTGCTAAACTATAGTTCTTGGTGTTGAGACTCTTCCTATCTCACTGAGATGAGGGAGTTGATAAACCTGGTCATTCATTGCAGTAAACTGTGGTTTTGTACTGGGACTGATTGGATGTGGAATTCCAAAATACCTGGAGGACAGTAGGTTGCTTGACTTTGCTATAATGCAACATCTGAACAAGCTAGAGTTGCTTCATCCCTTCCACTGTCCTCCTTGGTCTTGGACATGTGTGGCCAAATAGCTTATATTTCAAGAGTCTTGAGAGGCCAATCCTTCTTCCAATTCTTCCAGGTTATCCTGAAGTGAGGCTTGGAAAACATGCCTAACGCTTCTTTCTGGATTTGGCGCTCCTCCCATCCCTTATGTACCTAATTTAAAATACTATCAGCGTTAGTGTTTTCACAGCTGTTCAGGCTGATTGGAATCAGCAAAAATGTGTATAGCACAGATATGTATATTCAACTTATTCTAGCCTCCAACACAGAAGGTTGCAAGTTGGAGTGGAGGAACAGCAAAGGGGTAGGCAAGGATCTACTGTTCCTAAGCATTTTAAAAAAAAATTGAAAAAGCCCCCACCTGCTTTTTCACTTCAGAGGATGGAAGAGTAGATACTCTAGCCTTAACCTCTCTCCCTCCTTTCACTAAACTGTCTCCCAGTTTATTATTTTTCATTTACAGTAATACCAAATTCAGTGGGAACTCAGTGCAACTGTTAACTTATTGCCACTTCTGAAATGTTTAGACTGAATAAAGTATTTCATTTCCTGTTTCTATGTGCTATTTTAACAGCTCATACAAGGGGTTAGATAAAGGCTTAATCATACCCAGAAAACAGTAGTAACTAAATACTATTATGTTGTCCATTTTCATATCCACTTGAGTATTGCTATGCTGGTTGGGACCAGAGTGCCATTATTTTTTTCAGAGAGGTTAGTTAGGTAAGCCTACAGTTTCAGGATGGGGTGTGAGTCCTTTTTGTCTTCACATCGATGAGGGGCTGGCTAAACCAATTTGTTGCCAAATAAGAGGAGAATATGACCCTGTTCTAATTTCTTATACCTAAGTCCACAGAACTTCCAACATAGCAGGCCCAGCTGTTTCACATGTAGCTCTCCAAAACGAGTCAGCCAATGGGTTTGCTAGCATGGCCCCTATCATAAGCTGCCTGAGATATCTGCCTTATTCTGCTCAATATAACTTCTCAGTACTGACAGCTGTCAGTTAAAGTGCAAATCCAAAGCAGAAGGCTACAGGTGACTGCTGAGGGTCCTGATAGAATTTAATCTTGTTCAAAATCCAGTCATTTCTTGGTGGGCTAGTGTATGATGCCCCAAAAGTTCTGAAAAGCAAGCTTATTCTTACCTGTTGTAGTAGATCATGAGATTCATGATTTAAGTATGTTAGACATAGGTATCCAGAATGAAGGTTAGTTGGGATTAATGATCTAGAATCAATGTTGAATTCCCAGCACCCTGCCTAATTGGCTACACTGGCAGTACACAGTACTTCACTGTGAGAAACATCTGAAAGGCTATAGGTCACTCATTGCTGGTGTATCAGAGCCCTAACAATACATGATGTTAGACATTTTTAAACAAATGTGGTCAAGCTGGCCATGTTTATTTGGGAATGGGGAAGAAAAACCTAGAGCCTTGTTTCAGAATTCAAGTCCAATTCTTATGTCGTGTTCAGCTAAAAAAAAAAAATCAGACCCATCTGGCTTTTGACATCTATATTTATTGCAAACAGCACATTTGGAGGCAAAAAAGTAAAAGGAAATAAAAGCAGGCAGAATCCATTTTCAAAGGATATGCTTGCATTTCACTCAGTGCTTGTTTAAATACATGGCAACTGTCTCTAACAATTTGGGCCTGATGAAATAACTTTTGATGGTGATAAGGTTTAAGGGCAGAGAAAACTATAAAGCCCAAGATCCCACTGACACCAATTGAGAAAAGTAAGAGGTTGAGATTTATCTTCTGTTTTATAGAGAGCACCTTGAATAAGCCCTCTGGGTAGGGCAAAAGACATGTAGAACTGATCGAGCAAAACACATGTAGAGTTGATAGAGCTTGGTGATTTTCAGTAGATCAGCAAGGATTTCTGATCCCCAATTATTTGGGGGAAATCACAATCCCCCAGCTATCCAGACCTGACAGCAATTCTGGGTAGAATTTCCAGAAAAGAGGGAAAAAAAAGAACAATTGGGGGGTTGTATAGAAAATAAAAGACTTTATTTTTTTTCCAGTTCACAGGACAGTTGCCATTACATAGAACATGATGTTTAAGGAATCTATATAGCCATTAATGCCCTCCAATCACTATCATAAGCACAGCTGACACCAGTTCAGGACATCAACAGGACCCTGAGGGAGAATCAGCAACTGTAATTTACTTTTGTGTAGTTGCAGCTGCAGCCCATTTCTCATACTTGGTGGGAGATGACAGCCTCCCACATACTTAGATGATGCAAGTCCATCCACCTTTGCATTAGAAAAAACCAGGGGCGTGCTTGAAAGCTCAACAGTGGGAAGGGAGGCGGCAACACACTGGTTTCCAAACTCTATGAAGATCCGAGAGAAAAGCAGCCAGCAAATTCAGTGACGCGAGAGCTGAATCGACGTTTATAAAAGTTAATACAGAAAATGTGCCATTACCCTGAGTGGTTTAGGGAAACAAATCAGCCCATGTGTTATATCAGAGAGGAGGCATTATGAATGATCAGAATCTGATGCAAAAAGCTTCCTACAGGGCCAAAGGTATTCCTGAAACCTGGCAAGGGGCTGGCAAGGGGCTTCTCTATAGAAAATTCTGAGCCACGCTTGCCAGTTTTCTGGTGGCTCAACATCCACTGGCGATGCTGACAGAGAGTGCTTAAAAAAATAGAATCAAAGATTAACTCTCAAGACGGAAGAGGGGCAGGCTCACCACTCACTCGTCTATGCGACTGCTGACATTTCCAGGACTCCGGGGAGAAGTTAAGGCACAAAGTTATTTCCAAAGTCAAGCGAGGGCCCTCGAGGCAAATCACCTACCTATCTTAGCTGAGAAATAAAAATCTGTAGGAAAGCGATAAAACCAAACAGAGGCGCTTTCTATTCTGTTTCTGGAGGGGGGGAGTAGAAGGTTCTGGGAGGGGGACTACATCTTCATTCAATAAAACACTGCTAGACTGTCTTTTAAAGGACTTGGAAAATACATCTGGCAAACAAGGAGGCTGGGTATCTCCTTGTTGAGCAAGAAAGCAGGAACCTTTTTCCTAGCAACCGTATGTCGCAGCCCACAATTTGCCCCATCAATATCTACCATGCGTTTGTCTCAGAAGGAATCACCGCACTGCCTCCCTAACAAGAAGCCACTGTTCTCATCTGCCGCTTCGTTTGAAGTGACCTAACGGTGGCTTCTGTTTCTGTTTATTATTTCAAGAGTTTCCCGGTTGATAACCAGAAGAAAGGGGTGGGGAGGGCAGTAAGAAGCAGCAGTGAGTGCCAAGTTAATATCCAGCTACAGCTGAGATTACTGAAGAAAATTAGGTACCGTTGTCAAAGTCAGTGGTACTAAAGAACTTAGGAAGTTCTGGAGAACTACTGGAGGCATCTCTTGAAAATTAGCAGGCTCCTATCTCCACTATCATCCTCTGCAAAGGAGTTGAAGAGCTCTACCTTTGCCCTGGAGTTGAAATGATGTTTTGCAGGGCTGTAGCCCACCCCCTTCCCCTCCCTGGTGTTCTGCCCAACTCCTTGCCTCGGAAAAACTGCAGCACGAGTAATCAGAACAAAAAAGACCCTCCCCCTGGTGCAAGGGAAGTTGGCAGCTCATGGCAAGTACCTGTTTGTGAAAAGCAGGCATTTTTCTATGTCCAAAGGGGGATTCCTATCATGCAACAGCAGAGTGTCACCTTGGGTCTAAGAAAAGGAGCTTTCTTATTGCCCAATTATGCAAAGTCGCTGAAAAGAGGGATGGCACGCTGGGACAATTAAATCCTATAAGTGCCTTGTCCTCCTCTGCCATTGCTCGCATCAGAAAATGCTAGTCAAGTGGGGGTATTTGCTAGAAAAAGAACTGGGGGGACAGCCATGGTGCCCTGGGAGTCCGATCTCACGGGAATGGTCAGATATTTTCGGTCCCTGGCCTACTAGGAAAGAGAAGAAGCTCCCCATCATCCAAACACACCTTATTTTGTGACTTTTTCTAAAACATCTACAGTGCTATTTCTTTGCAAGAAGCGAGACACATCTGGACCCCTTTCTGTAAAAATATAGAATAAAATAAAAATTTATTTGCCTTCCTTTTCGATTTAAAAGCTTGAGAGAGGTCTGCAGGGGGCAAAAGTACTCTACAAAAATGTACTGCTTTTCTCTTCTTTAGTATAATACCACACAGGGCTGCACAGGGAGAATGATCTTTGCTGCTGGAGATTCTGCGCCCGGAAGTCTCCCAAAACTCCCTTTGCCAAAAAACCACAGAGAACTATTCAAGCACCTGAACTGCATTGCCAAGGCTTTGACGGCTCTCCCAGTAAAGCAGCGATGGGGCACCTCCTACTGTACACTTCCACTGGCTGCATTTCTTTGTCTGGATGAAAGAAAAAGTCCCCAGACTGGTTCCTGTTTAAGCCACAAGGCGACTGTTGGGAGCAGGGCCAAGATGCTTTTTATCCAGGTCCTCACAGAAAGTCTAATTCGAGGGCCTGGTGAAGGGACACCAAATCCGCGTGGTTTGTGATTCTCCAGAACGGCATGTTGTGCTGCAAAAGAAGAGAAACCATACTGTAATGAATGGAACTCATTCTGGCGAGGGGGACAATGTGGGGTGCAGGGGAAGAGGTGTATTAAGATTTATTTCTGCATAAAGAGGGGCACAGTGGTATGAAATTCTACATGTGTGCAAGGCCAGGTTTTATTTCTCTATTTATTTTTGGAGGGGCGGGGGGACTTTGCAATTTTTCTCTCTCCCTCTCAAGTATGGAAAAGTTATTTACTCCCTCAAATTGGGGGAAGCCACACTGCCAATTTACAGCTGTTGCTGGAAGAGTTCCAGGGTTGAAAAAAAAAGTTCTGGGGGGCCACACAAAACTTCCCGACTACCTACTTTTCCATCTTCATCATCATCATCACCATCACCACTACATTTATATCCCACCTTTCCTCTGGGAACTCAAGGTTCTCTGCTTATTTTTAGTGCACATCAACCCTGTAAGATAAATCGGGCCAGTCATACTCTCTCAGCCTAATTTATTTTAGCTACTCAGTCCATGGAGACTTGAATTTGGGTTTCCCCAGCATCTTAGCCACCACACTCAACTAGCTGTCTTTGTGCAGCAGGAACACAAGCCAGTACTTTGAACGGTGCTGACTAAGGTGGGCAAATGCATTAGTGTACTTTCCCAGAACTGGAGTTAACCAAGAAAGCAAAGGTTAACAGACCACCAGCCATGAAGTTATTTTCTGATCTAGGGATGTGTCTGAGAGGGGAGTGGCCAATGCACTACATAGCTCTGAAGCAGAGCCTACAGTCAAAGAGCTAGTAGAAACAGACATGAGACCACCCTGAGTGGTAAGAGAGAAAAAGGATGAAGCTCACGGTCACCTGCTTGGCTGCCATTTCTTCATCACGGCCATCTCCGATTACCACGTAGGTCACCTTCTTTCCAAACCGAGAGATGATTCGTTCAAAACAGCTCTCTTTGCCTGCCAGGAAGGTACACACATCTTTGTGATTCAAACAAAGAAATACTTGACTGTTGATGGTTTGACACACT